GTTTTTCAACTGTTTAACAGTCCCTTCCTTTAAAACATTTTGCAGTTACTGATACAGGAAATTTTGTCACAACTCTTTTTTTGTTTTTAAATTGGAAGGCGTCACTTTGCACATTTTTTTTTCTTACGCTGCTTTCATTGCTCTATTGTGAAGGACAAGATGAGCAATTGCTGTTGAAAGCTCTGCAGAGATGTGACATTTTTCTTTCTGCTCAGTAGTTCAGAATCTGTGCGAATAAAAGCCTTCTGGCCCTGAAGCAATGCGTGTTGCTCTACTGAAGTAACTCCTTTCCCAGCCAACTCGATAGGAAAACATGGATCTCAAATAATGTATTATATTTAATGAAATATCTTCAGTCATGTAATGTTAAATAGCTAAGCTAGAGCTCCTGTGGCTCTGATCGTTCCAGGACTGCCTATGCCGTCCTTCTGCCTGAGATCAGTATGGAAACCTCTCAGACCTGGGCCCAGAGCTGTTGCCCAGTGGAGTGTCCTTCGCAAGGCCACAAGCTGTCCTGGGGTGCCACTGCTGTGAGGGCAGTGCTCTCGTTCCTGCACCCGACGGCTGCTGCGACAGCTGAGCTGAGCACCAAACAGGGGCTGGGGGCAAAAGCTTGATCCAGCCCTTTCTCCCTTTGCAACACTTTCACCGCCCCAGCTCATGGGCACCGAAACACGTGTTATTTGTAAAACAAGAAGCTGCAAGAGACTCCATCCAAACATAGACCCCAATGTACGCCTGAGGAAAGCCGGCCACCCTTGAGGCTAAGCCTTTCCTGCTTGGCCGACGTTCTGTGTTTCTGGAGAAAGTGAGCAGTGCCTGTCTGACAGCCATACGAAACACACTCAGTCCTCACAGCCAATCCTGCCTTTCCACGAGGATGGAGAGCTCAGCGACGCTTGGATAGGGATCTTCACAAGCGCCAGTAGGGTCTGGACCCTCAACTCTCATTAAGTTTAATAAAAATTAGTGCTGATGACAACCAGCTAACCACACTAGCTTTCATCGCTCTCCTCCTCCTCCACCAAAACTGTCCAGCATTCTTAGGTAAATTATGAGGTTCTGTTAATATGGATATTTCGCCATTATAGTTAGGAACATGCTCATTACTGGCTTATTACTTTTAGGCTTATATTTTCACTCTTACATCTGATAGACACTTTCAAATTAATATTCTAATTACTGTTCAACCTAGTAATGTGTACAGAGCCAAGAAAAAGAGCTCACCATGCTACATACTTCTGATGTGGAAATAATTTCTTTTCTGTCAAAAAGACAGGCACAGTGAAGACATACAAATAACATTTTATTTACATTTTATAAAACTATACGCCTAGCAAAGGGAAGGAGAGGGTAAAAAAAAAATTAACAGGTCAAATTGAAAACTGTATTTTTAAGATAAATTATTTTCATCGCCAGCCTACTTTTTATACCTCTTTTCAGAGCTCATAAATCCCTACAGGCAAAGATCAATGCCTTGCAAAATTCAGGTAGAGAGGCATCAGCTCCACCAAAAAGACCTGCTGTCATGCAGCCTTCTGAGTTATAAAACCTCTGAGTTATAAAACCTTGAATACTCTGAAAGTGCAAAATCAAACTGTAGGTTAGTATATTAAGGCAAAGGCACCACCAACAATTCTGAGTTCATAATATTCTCAGCCTACTGAACCACATGTTAATATGCTACAAGTGCTTTTCTGCATATTTTTACCGTGTATACTTAGAGCTTTATGTTTCCTCCATGTTCCAATGCAATATATTTTAATAAAAAATCAATCTGTGTTTTTGGTGGGCAGCGTAAAGGTTTTATCCACTCAGCTCTGAATCTCAGAAGAAAGCAATATTGATTTAGATGTTCGCTCATTCATTTACTAGGACAGTTTTGAAGCATTAGGTGATAACCTAATGGAGAGAGACACTGTGAGGGAAACTGAGATTGTTGTGATAAATTAAATCAGTTCTGGGATGTCATCTACAATACTTTAATATCTGAAAGAACATTCTCCTGAAAAAATTCAACCAGGAAGTGAGCAGCTTGGGTGGCAGAGTGTGGCTTTCTACAAACACCAGGTAATACAAGCTGATTAAAATATCTACAGATAAATAAATTAATTATTATAGAAAAATAACTTGACTGCAACACACATTCTGTACGCGTCTATATGTCAGTCAATGTATGTATTTATCAGGCTGGTTTCCATTTCCCACTAAACTGATTAGGAACCAGTCAAGGGTGTGAATCTTTCACCATCTATCTGTTTTCTCTAAAAACACTGGCATCACACAGCATCCATATCAATATCATTTATTCATATTTCTTTTACAGAAGCAGATTGTCACACACGTCACCAAACAGTGTTATGACTGCTGCATACCAAATCATGCTTGCATTGCTCAGGTACATACTTCCACGAGGCCAGAGGATTTGGTCTCACATCTGGGTCTCACATCAAGAGGATGCATTCTCTCATGTAGGCACAAAGAAAACGCTGATCCACCTGCCATGGATTTGGACAGTTGATGAATCAGGCCCAAAGGCCCCCACACTTCTCCAGTTAGTGCAGTCATTAGCTGCAAGCAGCTTAGATGACTCTACCTAGAGTTTAACACACATATTCTTCACAGAGTGGGGCCAGACAAAGAGTACCTAAGCAGTGCTAGATCCACCAGCAGTAATAGCATTAGCAGAATCCACAGAAATCTGAAATTCCTTCCTAATGCAGGACACAATCCAGTAAGGTACCAAGCACCCTCATTTTTGATGAGGGTTTACTGATATGGTGATAGGCCCTTTATATATAAAAATATATACCAGAGCATGTAAAGTCTCATGCTTTGAGCACAAGGCAAAGTGAAATAGTTAATAATAAGAACAAACATGCCTGTAATACAGATGATTCAGCTTTAAAATTCATGAACTTACATGTTAGAAATAATTTTGCCCTGAATACTTCCTAAACTTTTTCCACTTTGTGTTCACGGACAGTATTGTTTAAATACATATTAATAAAAGCAGTGGCTAAACAAAGAGGTTTTTTACATTACACATGTGCTCAAACACAAATGGAGTATAGAACTAAAATAAAGAACAATTTCAAAACAAAACAAAACAAATCAAAACAACCTAAAACTTTGTATTTGAAAAGAAAAAATGTTCTGAAGCTCTGAATTACGCCTCTTACTCATAGGAGTTAATGCATATAGATTTTTTTCCACCTCTGGACAAGTGGCAGAAAGCCCCCGAGAAGCAAAGGTGCTTCTTTTTCACTATACCGTGTTTTGGAACCGATAGCAATTTCTGTCTGAAACTGTGCCTTCATATGTTAGGTTTAGGGACAAAACCTGCTTATCCAGATTTAAAAGTAATTGCCATTAATGTACCATTCCAACTATTACAGCACAGAATTTTCACCATATGCACCAATAATTTAATCTCATTCTTAAGTAGCCTCACACTTCCAGTAAAAAAAGGGCAGGGGGTTTGGGGGGGAGAATAAGCTGCAGAACCTTTAGTCCCCAAAACAGATGCCAGTTTTAGATTTATTCAGCCAAGGAGTATTTATCTTGGCTCAACTATGCTTGTGTTTAAAAAACACTTGCCTATTCCAAAAAGTTTTTAACGAGCTCTGCTGCAGATGTTGTTGCCATTTGGCATGTCACCGTCACTGTGTGGTACAGCAAAGAGAGAACTCTTGACCACAGGTTTTCCTTGGCTGAGGGAGCCAGCTTTTTTGGCTATTGCTTTTCTTCTGGCTGCATGTTTACAGAGTGTGGTTTTAGACGGGGTGTTAACAGAGGTTGGGTTAACAGCCTAACCCAGACCAACAGTGAGATGAAGGCTTGACCTATCCAATCTAAGAAAACAGAATAAGCTCCTATATGTTGTTGCTCATAACCCCAATTCTCTTGTATGCACCACGCCTATAGACGAGAAAGTATTTTTCTTTGCCCCAGGAGAGATGACAGAAACTTTAAAAGCTGTATCAGTCATGCAAAGCAGAAATATATAAAAACACGTGGCTGCTTAATCTTTGTCAGCTTGGTTTCATTCTCTCACTTATGACAATATTATCGTGGTGAAATGTCACTGAAATAAGTTCACTGAAGTTATTCCTGTTTTCCACTAGGATGAGATATCTTGAGAAGAGAAAAACCCTACAGAGTTAAACTGCAAACTTCTGTCCTCATATTTCCACTAGTCAGCACATGACACTTCTGAAACTGAAAAAGCCTAAATGTTTCTACATTGATGAACTAAGTTCCAAGGATATTAGTGCCTAATACCTCCATGACAGTTGAGCTGGGGAAAACTTAAAAATGCCCACTTGTAGTTTAGTTTACACACATTAATCCTATACCAGTACATACGCCCGAGAAGCCCTTCTTGTAAGACATACAACAACTTTAAAAAACACCCTGACATTTGACACATATAAATAAAATCTTTTGTTCAAATACTGACTCTTCTTTTTTGATGGAAATACCTTTGTTGCACTCAAACAAAAGAAAATATCCCAGTTTTAAGTATATTGTTCAGTCTGCTTTTCTAACGCTGCCATTATCCTCACATACCATGTACCTGTCTGGAAAAAACAAAGACCATGTAGACTCCCTCCACATCAGACACTTTTTACTTTACTCTTTATTAACTGATAATTTTCGTTAAGCCAAGTTGTAGAGCACAAACACCATTAGAGAACCAGCCAAATCATCTGCTTAAATTCTACTAATCTGCACCAAAAATCCTGCTTAACACAGTACAGATCAGAAAGTCCACCTTTCACTTCAGTTCCCTCTCACCAAGAATTCATCTAGGACTAGGAACATCTTGCAAGTTCATAGACACAAATGCAATTTATTGCAGCATATTAAAAAGAGAGTATAACATATGACTAAGACTGAAGTAAGCAGTGTCTGGCTACATCCCCCCACTGTCTGGGTAACCAGTACGCAAAAGCAATATAAGAAAAGAAAATAAATTTTTTTTTTTTTCTTTTTACCATTTTGGCTTCTGAATGCATTGGGGGGACTTGAGGTGAAGCACATGGATTATTGAGGTTCGGCCCCTGCATCCCCATGATGTTGGAGTTCATTGACATTTGTCGCTCCATCTTTTAAAAGAAAAAGGAAAAAAAAAAAAATCAAAACCCAAACAACCAGGTTTGAAAACGTCTGGAGACATTTCCAAGAATTTATGCTTGGTTTCTATTTAAATGGACTCAGCTTTATTTCTTCAAGTCATGACTGGAAAAATAACAACCTGTGTCGTGAATTACATGTGTGTATGCAGGCAGGCATGTGTTTCATCAGAATCAGCCCTGAAAATTCACAGTCAATTATAAAGAAAAGGGTTTTTTACTAAACAAATGTAGCAGCCAGCCAGATTTGCGCTTATTTGTCATGATTTTCTCCCTTTCAGTATAACAACACTCGGAGCTAAGTGGCTTTAAAAGCATCACTGTATAAAGTTGTGGCTTCTCCTGTCAGTGCAGCCCAACATAGCTTGTTAAAAACATAAATTAAAATCTACAGTCTCAAGTATATAGAAAATGAGTTGGCTCTTTTTGCTTCACTCAGACTGCTCAGTTGAGAAGAGTTTTCCATATGTCTTGTAAAGGAAGCTTTCATGTACTGCTGAGATAGCAAAAAAACAAAGCAGAACTCCTCCTGGCTATTCAGAGCCCTTTCTGCAAGCTAATCTCACTAGGCTGGGAGGGAGGGATACAATTTTCAAACAAGACCTAATGGCACTAAGGCCTGGATAAAACAATTTCCTGGAGTGTCTTCCTTGAAAAGAGGCAAGCCCTGTTACACCACTAGTCATTGGTAAAGGTGACGAATAGGGTTATGCTGCTGCTTTCAACTGAACTGAGCATCCTGCCTTGCTTTGGGCCAGTCCCCTGAATCTCCAGCTCATACAAGAAAGAAGCTTTTGCATTCTCCTGAGCTCTTCCAAGCAGGGGAGCTATTTTTTGTGCCCTGTAGTGAGGTATCGACTCCCACCTTTCATCATTCCCAGAAGAACAAGAGATGGGCCTGGGGTAGAGGACAACATCCTGCTGGCAGGGAGAAGCTGCCTCTGCTAGGACCCCTTATGATCTCCACAGGGTAGGAGGAGCTCCCACTTCCACCTGCTCTGCAGCCCTCTCAGGAGGGCTGTGGGGCAGGAGCTGCAACCAGGGCACCCGTGCTGATAGGGTCTGTCTTGCCTCCGTGCTCATGTCTCCAGGGCTCTCAGCCAGAGCATCCCTGCTCGTCTGCAAGCAGAGCTGCCCAAAAGGCTCCCTGGCAGCAACCTGAAGCCCCTGAGCTTACACTGAAGCTGGGTGTTTGCTCCATTTCAGGTTCTTTAAGAATCATGTCAGAAAAAAGCTGCCCACAGTGACATGTCTTATATTTTTTCTGTTGAACTTCCTGGTCAATATTCCAAAGCACTAATGACAAGTTACTAATTAATAACTCATTAATGACTGCTCAAACAGCAGCCAAACCTGAATATTTGTAGCCATGTGGAATGTCCCCTTTGCTCCAGCAAAGCCAGAACAAACAGTTCTTTCCTTCCTCCCATGGCTGATCACTCCCAAGTTGTCTTCCAACTGAACACCATGGAACAAAACAAAAACTTCTTTCCTGATTCCTCTTCCCTGTGCCATCCTTACTCATCTCCACCCTTAATCCACCCAGATGTCTTATACTGAAAGGGCTGTTAAAATCATTTAAGAATTTGAGGCTACAATTGCAAAGTAACCCTTTGTCTCCCAGAAGACGAGAATTATTCCTATGTCTGCAGAAATAAGTGGAAGATAAGCAGTGATCATGACCAAATTCTAATTAAGCTCAAGTTACCAGGCTGGAAGAGTAAATCACGTTTCTTTCTTGTTAGCTGGTTACCTCCCACAAACAAGAAGATTCCTTGGAGTTCCATGGCTTAGGTGAGGTACATGGCTTTTCCAGCTTTGCCTGACTTCAGGAAAATCTTTTTGTTCCAGCACAGACATACTGATCTCACCTACATGACCAAGTGTGAGAACCAGAAATTGTAGTCTCATGTGAAGCATTTCTAATCACTCTCACACTAACTGCACAAGAAATACCCTCATGTAAGATGATGCAGTGAGAAAGGTCCAGCTTCCTTAACTCATTGCACTTGAGAAAATCCAGCAGAGTTTCAGCTCTTGAATTGCGCAGAATCCCCAAAGCAAAAAACTTACAGGCATGAGTACAGCAGAAGATCCGGGCATGGTAGGATTCGGCAGGGTGCCAGGCATGGAGGCAGGCATAGGCTGTCTTTGTCGGTTGTGTAGGTGCAGTAGTGAAGACAGAGAACCTGGGACAGGCCTAGGAGAGAAGGAAATAAAGCTGTCATGGGCTACGGAGACCAAAACAAGCCTATCCGTGCCAGCCATTGCGAGGCACAGGCAACTCTAGACAAGCAGGCGTAGATAAGTCAATCCAGCATTTGTCCTCTCCTGCATAAATCAGTAGAACACAAAGTTTTCAAGAAACAGATGAATCACCTACTATTTACCAGCTCAAGCACCAGTATAGCTCATCTGATAGAGCATGAAATGTAAATGTAACAGCCGGCTTCAGTCTATGCAACTCTGCATCTTACAAGTGGCTAGCAAAAGATTTCTCCAGACAAAGCAGGAAAACTTCCTGGCATGCCACCAGCAGTTCAGCCCTCAGGAACAAAAATAGCTGGATGATAGTTTTGCAGACTATGACAGAAAATTAAACAGTCTTAATTTTGAAATTTTATCACCTGTAAAGGAACTACTGTGAGTATTTAATCTCATTTTTTATATTCTCTCCCATGAAACTCTACCAAGCCTTTTTTCCAAAACGAAGGTCCTGATTTTACCAGTTAGCACGTCACCAAGGCACAGAAAATGAAAAAAAAAAATAAATTTGAAAAATTACATTCGAATTAAGTTTGTAAAGGCAAGGAGTATGGACTGTAAAAAAGCAGAGTTACTTTGGCAGAAGGAGTTAAAAAGATTTGGAAGGATTTTTCTAAGCACTGAACAGGGAGAAGAGTGCATGTGAGAAAGCAGGCCCACTGACAAAGACGAAGAATCATAAAATTAATGAATTAAACAAAGCTGGGAGTACTCTTTAAAAATAGCCTTTCAGAATGTGGTCTTGGGAGTTACTTAAATTAATCAGACTTTTTAATTTTTTAAAAGAAATTTTTTTTTTTTTTTTTTTTTTTTTCGTTTTGAAGAAGGCATGAGTTGTTTGAAGTTTGGGGTAAATATAACTTGTTTACCTTTTCAGAAAGCATGCAAATAAGAAAGCTTTCAACATACAGTACCTCAAGAAACAATGCTAGTAGAAGTTCGTATCTTACATTCTTACAGAGCAGGATGTTCTGCAGAATAGTACAGGGATTATACTGTTCATTAGGCAGGAGAGAGACCCCTAAAGGTATGAGAAGGACCAGAGAGAAGGGGGCATAGTCCAGGAGTTTGAAGATCTTTGGGGCCAGGGGTGGAGCATGGAAAGCATCTAAAGATGTTTGGAGCCTCTGAACATCAAGATTGATTTTCAGCCTTGGCAGAAGCATCTTTTGATTCAGTGACAAATCCACAGCTAGCCATGAAAGCCTCAAAATCAGGCTGGCCTGCTCCAGGAAGCAGAGTCATAACCTCAAAGCTGTGAGGGGGAAGACAGTTGCTTCTCCCACTTGATCTGATCCGTGTCACACCGAAAGATGGGGCTTTACTTCTTGTTCCTCCACCTGTAAGGGGTATTGGCAATCAGGAATAGAGACACCACTCTTCTAACTTTAGCTGTCACTTCCATTTAACAAAAAGCAAAGAGGTCAAAGGCCGTGAGTGACAGGCTACACAGACACCTCATATGGAGGGCACCACATCCAGGCTCCCAAAGGAGTAGTGTCTGTATCATGGCAACATCAGTTTCTACTGACCTACAAGCCTCAACCTCTTATGGCCAGAATTCAAACCATCTAATCCTCTCTTTCCTAAAACTCCCACTATTTTCCATCCTTGGACTTTCAGTACTCCAGTCCTCCTCTCTTCAAGCTCCTTCCCCCAGAAACATTTCTGTCCCAACAACCACCTCAAAGTCCTGCCATGCAAAATCCCTTGTACCCAGACACCCCAGCTTCTCCCAGTTCTCTGCCCTCAGCTGCCCTCTCCTTAGCAGCTGCACATGACTGAACCCATCCTTTTGTCTTGGTTCTCCACAGGGAGAAAAAGCCTGTGTTTTGAAAGATGTTTTAAAAATCCTCCCAGACACATACAGTACTTATTCAGAAGAGAAAAAAAAAGAAAAAAAAAAAAGAAAACAAACAAACAAACAAAAACCCACGAAACAGCAGTAAATGTATCTCAGATACAGACAAGACTCTCTCCCCACACCTCTCTTGCTCTCTGCTGGTGAAGGAACACAATATAATTTACAGCTTCATACCCCGCCAAAGAAACTCAAGACAATGTCTCCCAAATACATGGTGTGACCCTGTGAGAGGCTGCAAGAAATGCTGTGAGAGAGCGTGAATCATATTCTGGGACAGAGGACTCTACAATCAGCTCAGCACAAGGCTAAGCCTGGGGTGCAGTGGAGGTGGTATAAGTTGAATGTGCAGGAAAAATGAGCTTAGAAATTACACTTACACAGACTCTGACCTGTCCTACTCTGCACTTAAAGCACAGCTGCTCCATGTACCAGCACTCCTTCATATAAGAAGAGTAATGAATCATTAGGACAGAGACAAAATAGCACAGAAACCTGATTCAGTGAGCCTTTGAAAATAAAAGAAGTGAGGAGATACCAGGCTGAATGTGAGGAGGAGTGATCCCGGTTTGGCCTTCAGAGGCTGTGGTGAGCCCCACAACTAGAGTCCACTTCTCACCAGTCCATCTTCGTTGCAACTACAGCCCTTCAGAGCAGCAGACAGAAAGCTCAAATAGGTCTTCTCTGTCTCATAGTTTGTCTCATTCATAGTTTGTGTGACAGCCACCAGATGGAAGGGCTGAGACCACCTCGCTGGGGTGACTGAGGAGCAGATCAGAGTGTTCTGCAGCCCCTGTCAGGGATGCTCCCTGAGTTCCCTCCCAGGAAAGCGGGCTGGGAGGAGCAGGCAGGGAAGGAGAAAGCACCAGTGCACTCTCACACCTGTCCTGGGACAAGACTGAAGTGTGCATCCATCTGCCCGCCGCAGCTCTGGAGCCCTCTGTGGCCACCAGCTTAGACAGCCTATGGGAACTGTACTGGCTAACAGGAGCAATACATTGAATAAAAAACACTAGAGTTTTCAGTCGACCAAAGTAAAACAAGTTCCATGACAACAGCTCCCCCTCCCCTTCACCCATTCTGAGACTGTCCCACATACAGACCCTTTGTACAATTCACCAGTTTCATAATAAGCTTAGGTGTTAGGCTGTTTGATAGAAACTTATTTTGGCCTGACCTATGCAATTTGTGCAAGTGATTCTCAAGGGACTGCACGATTTGAGTTTTGCTTATATGTTCCAGAGCCAAAAAAATTTCTAAAATTGCTTTAATGAGTTTGGGAATATGGGACTTGGGCAAAAGGGAATTATTGGTATTTATTAAAATGACGAAGAAGATTCTTTGCTGTCCCCAGTTTCACCTTTAACGCTGCTTCGCTTTAGGGGTCTGCATACACTTTACACTTCGCTAGAGGGAAAAAAAAATCAGTACTTCAGGTACTTTTGCTTGCTACGCTCCTTCTATTCTGTTCCCAAGTGTGTTTTTGCAAAGAAGTGCAGAGCAGGCAGAGAAACCTTGTGTTTCAAGGTTGACCCTCTTTGTCAAAAAGTCTGTACTGCTCCTGCCACCAGCAAAAGTGCTACATAATGTACACCAGATTCCACTTCCCATCAGAGAAGCTGACATTGGCCAGTACTCATGGCCAATGAGTACCTCATTGCTTCCACACTGAATGCAGGTCATGGATTACAACGTGCTCGTGCTTTCTTACTTGCACAGAGCTCAGGGAATGTGTATGGCACAGGACCATACAGGCTGAGGTACTCCATTTGTCTAAGACATTTTTCTTCCTTCCAAGGACAACACAATCTCTTTTATTGTTGCTTTCTATCCTGCAGCAAAGAAAAGTCAGAGAGTTTATAATTGTTATTTTTAATGTTGGACACATTGACTCTGCTCCTCTCTTTGTAAATGCTAAGGAGGTGCTGCCTGCAGCTTGTCAGTCAATATTGCTGACTGAGGGATTTAATTCCTTGGCACCTGTGTCACTAAATAAATAGGACTGTTAGGCAAACAGCCCACAAATAAAGGACATATAAAGATAGAGAACTGGCAAGAGCTCAGCCTTACTGAAAATCTGGCCATCTGTGGGGTTTTTCCCAAATTTAAGAATTTTTGTTGTGTTCCAGCAGAAGCCTGCTCTTGGACACACTTGTATACATCTCTTTGGGCGTATGTGGCCTGGATGGATAGCGCTAGGGTGGCTTATTAAAATACCATGTGTTAGCTAAGCTGCTGTAACTGACCACATTGGCTCCCCTCCCTCTGCATGGTCCTGCTAACACCATGAGTCACCCTCACTAACATTTAAGCAGATGGGCGGTACCCTGCTAAGCCATGGTGACTCAATCATATTCCATCACATGACTCTACCCAACGATTAAAGATAACTCCGCTCATGCAATCAACTATCTATCCTATACATACTTTGCTCTGTGCCTTCTTGATTAATACCATATTCTGTCTGCTGTGATGCAACACTTACCTGACCCAGTTTTTGAGATCGTCTGATGACTAAACACTATATTCATCTATTAAAAGACTAGGCTTCCCTTACCTTGTAGTCTTCACGGACAGTTTCTGCAGATGACAATTTCCTGCTAAGGTCTCATGAGACTGGGTTCATACTGACCTAAACCATTCAGGTCTACGTGCAGAAGGACTGATGCTGTTTAAAGTACCTCTGCAGTACATTTTCTATTATGGTAATGCACTCCGGGTCAGCAGGTCTTATCATGACCCCTCTCCTGCTTCCTACTCTCCCGCATGTAGCATCCATGCAAGATCAGAAGAACACCTCCACCATAACCCAGTTTGTTCCACTTTAGTTAGCTTTAGTTAGCTCTGGTGTGGACAAAGTAAAGCCATTAGGTATATGGAGTTGCACTGGAGCAAAGGAACCCATCTCTTCATTTACTGTGTCCTCCAGACCGAGCCAGATCACACAGGAACAGACTACAGGTGGCTGGTTGTGTTGTGGCAACTTGCCATGTTGGGTCAGCACTGGCTCAGGGATTTCTGCACCACACTCTGCTTATGCAACACAGACTTGCCCAGACTTTCATCATTTTTGTATATATGTATGTTTAAATATGTATGTACATGCATATTTATTACAGCGGTGCCTAGAAGCCTTTGTTTAAAAATTGTGGGTGAAGTCCTACCTCAACAATCTTACAGAACAAGGATAAGATGAGGTAGAATTAGTGCAAGCAAAAGGGAGACATGAGTGAGTAAGGCAGCAACGATACCATTATGATCAATGTAATGAGGAGCAACCACAGCATACCAGCAGGCTGGATCTTTTCAAGGTATGTCAGTATGTGCATGTGGTTTTGGTGGCTTTCAGGCTGAAGCACCCATGTAGCCTACCAGGCTGAGAATGAGCACAGCTGACTAGAGTCTTCCATATGAATGTCTCATGGACAACCAGGTATTGTCACAATTAAACATTTTGTTGCTAAAAAGGAAGTGCACTGGAGCATGTGGTTTGACAGACCAGCTGCAAACTGCTTCCATGGCAGCTACTGACGCCAGAGTACCTGACCCAAGTGCTATCCTTGGCCTTCAGTAGTAGAGCAAAGATGCGGAGGGGATGTTTTAAACTGTGACAGCTTTACTGACTGGAGGGGTTTCCTCACTTACTGCCGGTCTACTGTTTTTTGACCCACAGTGCCACTATTTAAGCCTATCAACCCAATGATAGCTTTCTTCATTTGTGGCCCATTATTTGAGGTGCTCCCTCCCCCAAAAGAGTAGGGCAGTTCTGTCTAGTTTCAATTTATTCATTTGTCATTCAGAGGATGAAAGAAAAAAACAAATACAAAGGAAGGCAAAAACAAAGCCCCAGACAAGTACTTGGAATGCCTTGCATAGTTGCAGGGACCTCACCTGACCTGCCATAACCCATCTTTAATGATGTTTTAATCACAGCATTACCAGAGAGCCAAGCCTTCCAAGGAGTGGGAGGTTGGTGTCACTAGGTTTTTCAGAGTTAAACCATATTCAGGAGAAAAGAAAACTGGCACCTAAAATTAAAGGCTCCCAGCCAACCTAGTAAAGATCCTTGTTTGCATTTCTCAGACAATTCCGATATCTGTATGATGTGGGTAGATTATTATTATCAGTAGCAGACATGTATACTGTGGCGGTGCCCAGAAGTCCCAGTCAGGATCGGGACCCCATTGAGCCTGGCACTGTACAAACACAGATAAGGGACAATTCTTACACAGTGTGTTTACAATCCAGAGACACAAAACAGATGAAAAGTCGAAGACGGAGATAGAACACACAGGCAAAAAAATATGCTAAAGAAGTGGAGACAGTTTAGCTTTTAGGTTAGCTTTTACTTTCTTTTTTTGTTTATTATTTAACTTGCATGCTCAGAAATGACAGGACTGAGGAAGCCTGCAAGAGGAAGGGAGTAACTAAGATTGAGACACAGAAAGGGCAACACTCTAGAGAGGGAAAAATGCGGCTCATAACTTAGAGAGTTTGGGGACCATCCAGACAAAGCTATGTTTTCTGTACAGATTTTTAAACAGTGCAGATATATTTTCATATGTGTGTCACCTTAAGGTTATTTTCCCAGTGTTGGACAAGAAGTGATTTCTGCCTGGGAAAGAGAAACAAGCTGATGGTAAAGATGCTGGCAAAGTGAAAGTGGATGCTTGACATGTAATGAGAAACTGGAGAACTGAGTTAAGTTAAAGCTAAGCTGCAAGAAATCTTGATTCAAGACAAGAAGCTTGATTCAGAAGTGAAGGGAAAGCCCATGCAAGTGTTTGAGGAGACCTGGCAGAATTACGTTAACAAGCTATACATTGTCACAGAAGTAGAAAGAATTCTGCAACAAGCATCGAAAAAGGAGCAAGATGTATCATCCAGATATTAAACTATATGGACAAAGTCAAAAGCAAGCACAGATACTTCTCAATTCACATATCCCTTGATGTAAGTGAGAAGCTATTCACTAGGGACAAAGCAACTCCATCAAAAATGCATTCTGGCAAAAAAGAAAAAAACACAGTAGGGCATGGACATATGTACCATAAAATACTGGAAACCTGTGGAAAAATGCCTCCAAAATTAGCTCTGTACTTCTCATCAGAGCTCGTAGGAGAAAAGCCCCACAAATCAGCAGTCCCACAGCTGTAACGTAGTTAGTGGGACAAACTCTATTTATAAAGATCTAGTCAATGATAAATCTTGCCTTTAGAAACTCCAGTTGTGCTAATGCCACCTGTATTTCCCAAACACACGTTTAAGGAACCTCTGCAAATTCAGCATAAGTACAAGGACCAGCAGGTCCTTGGAAGCCTCACAGAACCCATTAACATTTGCCTTTTGGCTCTTACAGGTCTTAGCAACTGCTGGTTTCAATCTTCCCTTCCTTCTAAATATTTCACTGGGTCTTATTGCCTGACCCATTACAAGAAAAATAAGAAAAGCCAGAATGGTTTCTTAGACTATAACCTCCTCAGAGAAGTTTATGTTCTGCACAGTGTTATGCACACAGCTGGAGCTCACAAGTGATACGTGGAGGATAATGGCATAGTTAAAGCAAAACAAGGAAGCATTAGGAAAGGCAGGTTCGAGGGATTATAATGAACTAGCTCATATAAAAA